TTTGAGACACTTCTATTGGTGACATTGCAACATGCAAGCTAAATTAAGCACAGATACAGTTTTTGAAATTATTTCAAATAGTATTTGAACCCAGGTCTGGTGTGAATGAACAGGCAGGGTGAGGCTGGCTATCCTGTGGGACTCTAACCCTCTTGAAAGGTAATTAATTTGACTGTATCGACTGCTGCCAGTGATGCTGCATGGCTAGATGAATGGATGGACAGACACTCACCAACACCGTGATCGTTACAGTACTAATCCCCTAATTGCTTTTGGACATTTGTTTTGAAGGCACACACGCAAGCATGCTCACGCACACACACACACACACACACACACACACACACACACACACACACGCATGGCTGTGTGCATACACACACACGCACACAGACACACACACACGCACACACTCATATCTTGATTCATATTGTCGAGGCAGGAGGGAATTTGAAGTGGCAGACCCTCATGTTGCTTTTTCAATTTGCGCCCACTCAGTCAAGCGGCGGTGTGGCCGTACATTTTACTGGGCCATTTCACTGCCATAAATATGCGTAAGGAGACAGGCTGGGACGCTCTCTGTGTTGTTCAAAAAAGATGAGTAACTGACTGTTGTCTTATTGGATATTTTTACAGCACAGGTGTTTAATACTGTGGCATACACAGATTCACACACAAATATACACACACTCTCTCTCTCTCTCTCTCTCTCTCTCTCTCTCTATCTCTCTCTCTCTCTCTCTCTCTTTCTCCCGTTGTCTCTTGCCCTCTCTCACGCTCTCTCTGTCTGATATTGAATAACATAGACTGTGAGAGCCTCCCCCTGAATGAGAAGAAGAAGGAATTGGAGTAGGAGCTGATGAACGGACACAAACACATTCTCCCCTACAGCTCCATGTTTGTGTTTGGACAGACCAACCCGTAAGTCAGGCCCTGAAACAGGGAACCCGTCATTTATCTTGCTTATATTATATGCTGTATAACAATGCTGGGATTCACCCTCTGTACGGTACTGTAACAAGTCTTATCAGGTCTGGAGTCTAGAGACATTATGTAAGTGAGTGGCATGAATATATGATAACAGCCATATTTGGTGAGGTTGTCCCAGACAGCCAGGGAACTTCACTGACATTAATATCAGAGCCTGTCTTCTCCAAAAGTTAGTCAGACAATCTCCCAGGGTCTCTATCTCCCACCATTTGAGGATCTATTGTCACGGATTCTGCCGAGGCTGCTCCTCCTCCTGGTTCGGGCAGGCTTCAGCGTTCGTCGTCCCCGGAATACTAGCTGCCACCGTTGAATGTTTCTATGTTTGATTGCTTTTGTCTGTCTTTTACACCTGTGTCCGTTTGTGTCTGATTACGTGTCCTATAAGTAGCCTGTTTTGTATTGGTTAGGTTGTGTGTTGTTTTTCGCCTGTCCGTAGTGCTGCGTGTTTTTGTATCTGTTTCGTTGTTTAGTGCAATACGCATAGGTTGCGTATTGCTCGCCTCTGTTTTGTTTTGAGGCCGTTTACTGTATCTTTGCCTAGTGGTTTCACAGTAAACTTTGTTGGACTAAGCTTCGGTGTCCTGCGCCTGACTCCCACACCACATACACCTCAGCCTTGACATCTATGAAATCCATTAAATTATCAACTGTCTGTCAAATTTGCCGCTAAGGGCCTTGCTGGCTTTGAAAACATGGAAACGCATCATCATGTTTTTTTGTAGGTCTGATACAATTCATGGTGTGTTGTTACGTGATTACTAAGTGTTTTCATGAGGATACATTATTAATTGTTTGTTTGCTAAGATGCAACGTACAGTTTATCTCTCCGCTTAGATTGGTGCTTGTGTGTGTGTTTGTGTGTGTGCATGCATGCATGTGCGTGCGTCAGTGTATCCGTTCGGAGGTGTGGGGTGTGTGTTCCCTTGACAGACTGAGCTATTGGAAAGTTGGAGAGGTTCCTGTTGCTATTCAATGGAGCCTGCTGTCAAGACTATTTACTGAAAACCAAGGATTAGGAAAGTCTCAAAGGAACATTGGCTGGTTTCAGCCAAAACAGGCATTCACAGGGCTGAAAATGACTGACACGTTCTGTAATAGTGTCAGTATGCTAGATTTAAAGTGAGAACTTGGATCAGGGTCCATAGCGCTGAGGGGGTAGAAGTCACTGAATCCAGGAATGAGCACTTGTTCTGGGCATCACGATCGACCACGTGTGGCTAACCCTGGAGCATCCATTCCTGCCACCCACACCTACGAAAAGCCCAGCAGTCACAGACACACACACACACACACAAACAGACAGACACACACACAAACAAGCACACCTAACCCATCTTATTTTTTGACTTCTCAGGCTTGTACCTTGTCAGTATGGGCCACTGTGTCTGCACACTGATAAGGCGCTGCAGCCTCAGAGCACTGAATAAGACTGGAGGAGTCTTTCTTATTCTACATGAGCAGGATACTCCATGCTACATTGCATTTTGCAAAATCACCACATTCATCAGAAAGCAATATCCCGGTCTGGGACCTCTGTTGTACCTTTTGCCCGGAGAGGTTTTATTGCTTTCATTATGGCTTGGTGACCTTACCACTTTAATCCTTCATTATCTCTCCTTATCTTCCCTCTCTCCCCATTATCTCTCTCTCGCTCTGTCCACCTTATTTGCTCATTATCTTGTTCATTTTCTCTCTCTCTCTCTCTCTCTCTGACCTCTATTTCCACCTGGAGTAACATAATAGCATCATGTCTGGTCAATGATATTAGTATACTAGCCTACCTCTGTATCACCCACTCTCCACTCTCAGGACGCACTATGGTGTTAATGCACTGAGGCGTGCAGTCGAACACCAGCTAATCTCTCTCTGCCTCTACTGAAATGTAGTAGCTGGTGTGTGTGTGCGTGTACATGTACGTGTGCGTGTTGGTGTGTCCTAGATTCCCAACGAATTGCTTGATGCCCTAGCACTCCCATGTCCCTGTTTTTATTGAATGATCTGAGACGGCTCAGAAGTACCTGGATAAGAAACAACTGACAGAACATGCAACACTTTTTTGAGAATTCTAAAATATTCACAAACACAACTCTTAAAAGGGACAATGGAGCAATTATTTAATCATATGTCCATTATCCAACATGATTGGAGAGGTTAAAGCAAAGGTTCCACTGTAGTCATATCACAGTCATGTCACATCATCGATCACAGGAAGGAAGGAAGGAAATAGAGAAAAAGGAAGGAAGTCAGTGCAGTATGACATGTTTATATATCCTTAGAAGCAGGCAGATAGTGGGAGTTTGTGTCTTCATTGTGTGACATGACACATCTCCTGTGTATTCCCCTTCTCCCTCTGTAGCTGATGGTCATTAGTCAGGAGATGTGTGACACGAAACATCTTCCCTCTCTCTCAATCTCTCTTATCTCTCCCTATCCCTTTGTTTTTATTGTTTGTTAGCTGATGCTATGAAGGGTCGTTATCAACGTCGGCTAACGGTTACAGCTCTACGCAGAGGGGATGCAGGCAGGGGGTACGGAGATGAAACAAGCCATCGGAAGCTAATGCTAGGCTAGCGTTAGCGCTGTGGCTAATTACATCAGACAGCTGCCTGACAAAACAGAGAAGGAAAACAACAATTTTCTATCTTTCGGTCTGTCTGCCTGTCGGCTGCTGCTACAGCACCTCTCTACATCTCCCAGGCTTGTCCTCTTTTCTCTCCTCTACTCCTGGTCTCTCTTTGCATATCCCTCTATCATAAACACCTCTGTAGTCTACTGTAGCTATCTCAAATAGAATCCATTTAATGTCTCTCCATCTGTCTATTCGTAATCTATCTGCTCCTTCTCCACGCTGCAGTTTCACCTTCTTTTAATGCTGGCCTTGAGATCAATAATTCAGACTCCCTGCAGTGAAGGCAGCTTGACAGACTGATTAAACATGAGAGGGAGAGAAATGGAGAGAGGGAGTGAGGGAGAGAGGGAGTGTGGTAGGGACAGAGAGATGAAGAGCAGGGTGCTGTAGAAACAGGACATATAGAGAGAGAGAAAGAGAGAGAAGGAAAGAACTGAGTGTTAGAGTGAGACTGGAGGGATATACACAGAGTACCAAACATTAGGAACGCCCTCCTAATATTGAGTTGCAACCCCCCCTTTTGCCCTCGATTCGTCGGGGCATGGACTCTACAAGGTGACAAAAGCATTCCACAGGGATCCTGGCCTATATTGACACCAATGCTTCCTACGGTTGTGTCAAGTTGGCTGGATGTCCTTTGGGTGGAGGACCATTCTTGATACACACGGGAAACTATTTAGCGTGAAAAACCCAGCAGTGTTGCAGTTCTTGACACAAACCGGTGTGCCTGGCCCCTACTACCATACCCCGTTCATAGGCACTTAAATATTTTGTCTTGCCCATTCACCCTCTGAATGGCACACATACAGATATGGATAGTCAGCCAGCCTCGTTCTCTAGGATGACCTCACAGTAGTCCAATTCCTGGTGTGTATGTTAATTGTATTTCCTTGATTCCTCGCATCCTCTACTTGCCTCCTTCTCAAAATGCATTGGAGGAGAAGATCAGAGGAGAGGAACCTAAGATCCACTCCAATGTGCTTTGAGAAGGAGGGAGGATGTGAGGATTCAATTAAATATTATTGCGGTTAGTGTGAAAACAATATATATAAAATAAAATAAAATGGATGCACTCACTAACTGTAAGTCGCTCTGGATAAGAGCATCTGCTAAATGACTAAAATGTAAAATGTAAAAATACAGAATCCATGTCTCAATTGGATTGGTCAGTCTATGTCATGGAAAGAGCATGTGTTCTTAATGTTTTGTCCACTCAGTGAAGGGAAAGGGAAAAAGGGACTGGAACTGGGAGTGAAGAAATAAATGTCATGGAATGGAGAGAGAGGAGGTAATGAGGAAGAGAGAGAGAGGGAGAAAGATGGAGAGTGAATAAAGGGAAGGACGAGGGAATTCCACAGAGAAAAGAGAGCAAGGGGGATAGATGAAAGATGGTGAGAGTGACGGAGAGAGCAATAGAAAGAGAGAGCTAGAGAGCAGACTGATGCAGGATGGTGAGAGCGACTGAGGGAGAGGGAGAGAGGTGGAGGAGAGGAGGGTGTGTGGGGGTGGTTTACAGTAGCAGGGTAAAAGCTTATCTTGGTCTATAATGGCCACATGTGACACTAACCTTTCCAGAGGTCCCCAGTGGGGAATTGTGTTATTATCAAATCAAATTTACATTTACATTTAAGTCATTTAGCAGACGCTCTTATCCAGAGCGACTTACAGTTAGTGAGTGCATACATTATTTATGTTTCATACTGGCCCCCCGTGGGAATCGAACCCACAACCCTGGCGTTGCAAATGCCATGCTCTACCAACTGAGCTACATCCCTGCCGGCCATTCCCTCCTCTACCCTGGACGACGCTGGGCCAATTGTGCGCCGCCCCATGGGTCTCCCGGTCACGGCCGGCTACGACAGAACCTGGCAAATGCTCGGCCTCCGACCGCAAGGCACTACAGAGGGTAGTGCGTACGGCCCAGTACATCACTGGGGCCAAGCTTCCTGCCATCCAGGACCTCTATACCAGTCCCTAAAGAGGAAGGCCCTAAAAATTGTCAAAGACTCCAGCCACCCTAGTCATAGACTGTTCTCTCTGCTACCGCACGGCAAGCGGTACTGGAGCGCCAAGTCTAGGTCCAAAAGGCTTCTTAACAGCTTCTACCCCCAAGCCATAAGACTCCTGAACAGCTAATCATGGCTACCCAGACTATTTGCATTGTTCCCCCCCACCCCATATTTTACGCTGCTGCTACTCTCATCATTGTCGGTGATCAGAGAGTAGCAGCAGCGTAAAAGATGGGGTGGGAGGGAACAATGCAAATAGTCTGCTAGTCTGGGTAGCCACATGCACCGAATACAACAGGTGTAGACCTTACAGTGAAATGCTTACTTACAAGCCCTTAAACAATAATACCGTTTTAAGAAAAATAAGTGTTAAGTAAAAAATAGATGAGTAAAAAAATAAGTAAAAATTAAAACAGTAGGGAGGCTATATAAAGGGGGTACTGGTACAGAGTCAATGTGCGGAGGCACAGGTTAGTCGAGGTAATTGAGGTAATATGTACATGTGGGTAGAGTTAAAGTGAATATGCATAGATAATAAACAGAAAGTAGCAGCAGCGTAAAAGATGGGGTGGGGGGGAACAATGCAAATAGTCTGGGTAGCCATGATTAGCTGTTCCGGAGTCTTATGGCTTGGGGGTAGAAGCTGTTAAGAAGCCTTTTGGACCTAGACTTGGCGCTCCGGTACCACTTGCCGTGCGGTAGCAGTGAGAACAGTCTATGACTAGGGTGGCTGGAGTCTTTGACAATTTTTAGGGCCTTCCTCTTTAGGGACTGGTATAGAGGTCCTGGATGGCAGGAAGCTTGGCCCCAGTAATGTACTGGGCCGTACGCACTACCCTCTGTAGTGCCTTGCGGTCGGAGGCCGAGCATTTGCCATACCAGGCAGTGATGCAACCAGTCAGGATGCTCTCGATGGTGCAGCTGTTTAACTTTTTGAGGATCTGAGGAGCCATGCCAAATCTTTTCAGTCTCCTGAGGGGGAATAGGCTTTGTCGTGCCCTCTTCACGACTGTCTTGGTGTGTTTGGACTTGGAGCTCTCAACCTGTTCCACTACAGCCCCGTCAATGAGAATGGGGGCGTGCTCAGTCCTGTAGTCCACAATCATCTCCTTTGTCTTGATTACGTTGAGGGAGAGGTTGTTATCCAGGCACCACACGGCCATGTCTCTGACCTCCTCCCTATAGGCTGTCTCATCATTGTCGGTGATCAGGCCTAGCACTGTTGTGTCGTCGGCAAACTTAATGATGGTGTTGGTGTCATGCCTGGCCATGCAGTCATGGGTGAACAAGGAGTACAGGAGGGGACTGAGCACGCACCCCTGAGGGGCCCCCGTGTTGAGGATCAGCGTGGCAGATGTGTTATTACCTACCCTTACCACCTGGGGGTGGCCCGTCAGGAAGTCCAGGATCCAGTTGTAGAGAGAGGTGTTTAGTCCCAGGGTCCTTAGCTTAGTGATGAGCTTTGAGGGCACTATGGTGTTGAACGCTGAGCTGTAGTCAATGAATAGCATTCTCACGTAGGTGTTCCTCTTGTCCAGGAGGGAAAGGGCAATGTGGAGTGCAATAGAGACTGCATCCTCTGTGGATCTGTTGGGGCGGTATGCAAATTGGAGTGGGTCTAGGGTTTCTGGGATAGTGGTGTTAATGTGAGCCATGACCAGCCTTTCAAAGCACTTCATGGCTACAGACGTGAGTGCAACGGGTCGGAAGTCATTTAGGCTGGTTATATTAGTGTTCTTGGGCAAAGGGACTATGATGGTCTGTTTGAAACATGTTGGTATTACAGACTCAGTCAGGGAAATGTTGACAATGTCAGTGAAGACACTTGCCAGTTGGTCAGCGCATGCTTGGAGTACACGTCCTGTTAATCCGTCTGGCCCTGCGGCCTTGTGAATGTTGACCTGCTTAAAAGTCTTACTCACATTGGCTACGGAGAGCGTGATCACATAGTCATCCGGAAACAGTTGATGCTCTCATGCATGCTTCAGTGCAGAACATAGAAGTGATTTAGCTCGTCTGGTAGGCACGTGTCACTGGGCAGTTCGTGGCTGTGCTTCCCTTTGTAGTCCGTAATAGTTTGCAAGCCCTGCCACATCCGACGAGCATCAGAGCCGGTGTGAGTCAAGAGCAAGAGTAGTGGAAATCACTGAGGATGGACCCTGTGTTTACCAATGCAATTATTTCAGTGACACACACACATGCACACACATGCAGACACACACATGCATGCACCTACATACTAATACACACGCATTGTGACCAACAAGCCGCTATACATGTGCATGTTACCTCTCATCTTTCATCTCTCATAGCCTCACTGTCCTTTCTGTACAACACACTCACAAATGAACTAAGGGTCACCATCTGAGTCTAGTGTAGAATCTAGACCTTCTCCAAGAACCCTGGCAGGACAGATACATCACTGACACTCACAGATGTTCTGTATGGACCAACCAGGCCTCATATGAAACGCAACTGGACTGAATTACAATAGTAGAGAGAATAGATTGAATGGTAAGATGTTGGCTGAAGAAATAGTGAGCATTGAACCATTCAAATCATGCAAACAGCGAGAGGCTGAATTTGGATCCAGGGCCAAGGAGTTCAGCATTGTGTACATCAAGAACTTTGGCATCAACAGCGAGGCATAGTTGACATGGTGAGTGTTTGGCAGATGTGTCTTGTGTAGCCTACTGTGGTATATTATCTTGTGTTTCGTGTCTGTTTAGTTGGCCTTTTTATTGAGTTGAGGATGATTCTGTCCTTTTCAGGTACAGAGAGTCGAATCCAGTGGATTCGGCTTCCTCAGTTTCAAAAGGCATGAGGATGCACAGAAGGTGAGAGATGCCATCCATTATTGTCACTGTCTAGATGTGGTACAGAGCTCAGTGTCTGGGAGTCCAGTGTCTCATTGGAGTGTATCTGACTTCTTTAGGCTGTGGATCAGATGAATGGGATGGAGGTGAACGGGAGGTGGATCTATGTGGGCCGCGCCCAGAAGAAAGGCGCAACAAGCTCTCACAGTCTCATGTCAGAATTAGACGTCCATCCATATTTTCTCAAACGTAGAATATCAAAGTGTTTAAGATTAAGTTTAGGCATTAACTCCAAATTGTTAAGATTAGGCATTAACTGCGAATGGTTAGGGTAAGGGCTAAGGTTTGAGATGGGCTTAAAACAAACATCTAAAAGGTGGCCAGTTTCTACGTCATCTCCTGACGTCCTCAGAAATGGATGGACGTCTAATCCTGATTTGTACCACCGGTGACCTGGCTGGAAATGCGAGTGTCAGACGGTGCTAAAATACAGGATTGAGCAGAGGAAGAATGCCGCATTATCGGAGTCAACCTGTACGTGAAGAATCTGGATGATAGCTGGGACGGTCATCATCTCCAGAAAGAGTGTTGCCGCTTTGGAACAAAGCGTCATGGCTGTCCCCAACCCAATCATCATCAACCCCAACCAGCCTGCACCCCCCATTATGGTCCAGAATATTCCTGTCATGCATCCATGCACCATGAGTGCCTCATCCTCCCATCTGATGATGCAGCATATATGTAAATTATGGAGTCATTTTTGCTACAGCTCCCATACCATTTACCTTGAATGTCTTTAGTTGGAAGAATGCTGGCTAATGTCATCATCACATCTTCGATCATGAATAACTTCTCCCCAGCTACCCAGGCAGCCATAGTGAGCAATGCCTCACAAAACCTCTCAGCAGGAAATGAATGCCATGCTTCAGGTCCACATGCAACAGCTTGCTGTCTGTATCCAGGAGCCTCTGACTGCTTCCATGCTGTCAACCTTGTCCCTTGAGAACCACAAATAAAGTCTGTGTGAGTCTGGCATCCATCTCTCTTTTCAATTAACTTCCTCATTCAAGAACTTGTGACCCTCCATTCCATGGTCATTTCTGATGGTTTATTTTCCTCTCCCTCCCTCCAGGTCAGACCCTTTACCTCCTGATTCACACCACACACCCCAGTCTGGCGGCAGAAATCACAGGCATGCTCGTGGAGCTGCTTCCCATGCTGGAGTCCCCACAGACCCTGCCCGCTAAGGTGGAGGATGCATCCGCTGTCTACGAAGCCCACGTGGTCCAAGCCAAAACACCTGCCCCAATGGCTTAAACATTTAATATGGCATTTAATATTGCAAACATGACAGCAAATGTGACAAGCATTGGACAATAAATAATGTATATTAAGTGAATACATGATTGACTTCATCTGGTCTAGATAAGGTTAAGTTGAAGTTTAGCTTAAAGGGTTGAAGAGCAGTAGGAGCCAGAATAATAATGTGGACTGTGTGTGTGTGTGTGTGTGTGTGTGTGTGTGTGTGCGCGCGTGTGTCGGCATGCATGCGTGTGTATGTGTGTGTGTTTGCTTGCCTGTGTGCATGTACGTGCGTGTGCATGGTGCCATAGCCCTTCTCTGCCAGCCCTGTTGTCCTGTATGCACTCCTCCAGTTCCTGTGTCAGATCTCTAACCTCCTCCAGCACTAATTCTCTATTACGGCAGATCTAAATTGACGTCCGTATCAAAGGAGATGTCAGAGTGACATTGCCGGCTGTTCTGTCAGGCCAGCTTAGAGAACCAGGGCCTGAACATTTTCCCTGTCGCCGTGCTAGCTAGCTAGCTATAGCTCGTGAAAATCCAGCTTTATAGTGACATGGGTTGTGTCCCAAATGGGCCCTGGTAATGCACTAAATAGGGAATAGGGTGTCATTTGGAATGCCATGCACAATGGAGTGTCTGGGAGGGCTAAAGGAGTGGTTTACATTTTAGCAGACACTCTTATCCAGAGCAATTAGGGTTAAGTGCCTTGCTCAAGGGCACATCAACAGATTTTTCACCTAGTCGGCTCGGGATTAGAACCAGCGACCTTTCAGTTACTGGCACGACGCTCTTAACCACTAAGCTACCTGCCGCCCTAGAGTTTCAGTGTGTGTCCCAGCCAGGCCTAATCTCGGTTAACCCAGAAGTAAAATATTGAGTAATTTGGTCAGCTGAGTGATTAACTTCTGTGTTCATACTGTACATGTTAGAAATTAAGAGTTCAGGCAAAAACAAAGTCTCTACCAAAAAGAGTGACGAAAACCCAAAAAACGGAACTAATGTTGCTCGGATCTCACGCATCCCATTTAGTCCTGGCAGATTCTTTCTGTATACACGCAGAATCTGCCCACGGGAGATTAAGCCAGGCCAGACAGACAGACATATTGAACAGTGAATGCTGTAATCTACAGGCAGAGGATGGATTAAGTTATTCTGGTCATATTTTTGGGTTGTTCTGCAGACTGGAAGAGAGCTTATGATAACACACTTGTATGACTTACACACATGTGGAAAGATAAATGCACACATACACACACACACACACATGCAAGAATGCGTGTGCACAGACACATGCACACACACATGCACGCACACAGACACAGACACACACACACATACTAGACACAGAGAAAAGGTGGGAGGGGGAGAGAGAATTACATCACACACATCCATGATTTATGTTCTCCACGGACACATAATGTAAGGAGTGGAGGCACTGAGCTGTAAAGCTCCCTAAAGGCCATGATAATCACATGTAATGGGATGGTTCAGAGGTTGGTAACACAGCCTGTCCCAGCCTCTAACCCAGGGCCCCATTTAAGCAAAGCCTGGAACTGGCTTCCTAGGGTGAAGAAATATTACAACAAAGCAAAACATATTTAGATTTAGGAGGCGTTAAGTTGCCTGTTGTTTTAACCAGTCAGCCCTTTTTATTAAAATATGAATTCAAAAGTACATTCATGCTGGGCAAGAAGAATGATGTTTTGATTTAATTGAGTATCCCATTTTTAGCTTAGAAACCCTACTGTTTCTGCACAAAGTCATGCTGCTGCGTTGAATTATTCCAGACTGTTTGGCCCGATACACACATGCAGAAACAGATACCCAGGCTATAGAAGCTCAGTTACCAAGATTGATTGAAGAAACACTCTGTGATGTTGACAGATCTAAGGGTCTGGGGGTTTAAGCAATATGGCCGAAGCGCTGAACTGTTTATCACCTCACTATCCACATGACTTTTAGATCAGCAGTACAGTACAGTCCCAGCACAGGGCATGATAAACATGAATTATAGAGACATATGATGGATCATTAATGATGATGACGGATCGGTTGCTATAGCTGTTACCATAGTGACCTGATGTGGCAACAGGACTGGAGAGTGTATCTGCCTTTCTGTTGGTCTCTCTGACTCCCTCTCTCTTTCTCTTGACCTCTCTCACTCTGTCTCACTCTCTCGCTGTTGGTTCCTCTCTCCCTCTATATCACTCTCTGCCTGCCTGCCTATCTGTCTCTGTCCTGAACCTTACTCTCTTTCTCTCTGTAAATCTCCCCAGCTGTATATCACTCCACGCCATCCCCCTTTCCTTCTCTCTCGTCTCCTTCTCTCAATCATTTCTCTCTCTCCTTTTTAGCTCAGTGTCTCTGTGCACCAGTACCCAAGTGACCTGACCTCCATAAACGATGGAACAAGCTCTGAGAACTGAGAGAGAGAAAGAAAGAAAAAAAGAGAGAGAGGGATTTGACTTACATGAGCCTCTCCTGTAAGTCAAATCCCTCTCTCTCTTTTTTCTTTCTTTCTCTCTCTCAGTTCTCAGAGCTTGTTCCACCCCCCCCCCCCCTCAACCTGCATCAAAAGCATCACCATTTAAAACACTGGAACACTGCTTTATTTCAACATGTTTGACCTGCTAAAAATGGAGTCCAAGACAGAAACCCCCAACAGCCTCAGACCTTAATTGTCCAAACACTAAATCAACCACTGAGCAGGATCATAGAACCATAGCATCTTACAGCAGCCCCTTACATTCAGCCTTCATACCCAAGGAGAGGGTCTTCAGAGTGGGGCAACAGAAGCATGAAAGGCCCCTGGAGACTGGAGCTAGCGTTGACTGCATGTGAATGATGTAACGTGGCCTCCAGGAAAGACTTCATCATGCATGTTACACAACTCTGCACTATTTGTCCCTACTGTGATCCGGTCTCTGGGCTTGGTGAGGGGGTCCAGTGGATGTGTGGAATCATTAGCTTATGATGTCCTGTCCATGGACATCTTCAATGGTTCTGTGCTGGTTTCTGTGAAGTGAAGATCAAAGATAAAGATACACAATGAAAAGTGTAATGGACTTTTGAATACATACTGTATACACAAACATACACATACACACACACACACAAATTCCTACACGCAACCTAATCATCTCTCTTTCTCAACTACAGCACACAGACACACAGCTTCCTCGCACATTTCCTCATTTATCCAAAGGCGCTCTCTTCTGTCCAATAGAATAACTGCATGACTGCAGTGAATTGAATCTGTGAGAGAACTGAACACTGTAAGATGTTCTTCTCCTCTTTTCTATTTCATGACAGAGTAACCTGCTGATTCATCCTAATGAATATGAATGTGATCTGTTATGACCATGGTCAATATGACCACAATCTATATGACTGTGGTGGTGAGTGTCATTGTGTGTGTTCCCACAGCCCTCTCAGGTCCACAAGTTCACATGGTACCCTGCACATCGACTCTGTACTGGTACGCCATGTTATTTTTTACTCTTTATTGTTATTCATTATTCCTCGTGTCACTATTTCTCTATTTTAAAATATATATATATATATCTTTAACTCTTCATTGTTGGAAAAGGTCAGATTTTCACTGTTAGTCTATAAGAATGGAAAAGATCCCAAAACAAACCCTGTGAACCCTGTCAGCCTGACTCTTCCCTTCCTTTCCTCTCTTCTCTCCCCCTCTCTCTAGCACTGCTGTCTTCCCCTCTCTGACGTCATAGCAACTGCAGTCGAACAGAACATCGAGCAGAGCAGAACATCATACGTCCCTCCATCTGTCTGGGGGCTAGCTATGGACGAAGGGGGATCGGAGAACGGAATGCGGAAGAGTAGGAGGAGGAGGAGAGGTGGGCACTAACCTCAGGCTCTACAGACCATGTCATAGAGATGCTATAATATTATTCCCTATAATCCATCTTTAAACAGACTGGCTGCTACCAGGCTCTGTATAAATTCCCCTGAGGAGAAGTAAAGTTATTCTATCAGTCACGTTTCTATGTCTGACTCAACCCACCGCTGCTGCAGAGGACCAAACATGAACCTGCAACAGGGCCATCTAATAGACAGACCAACTTCATAGAAACATGTCAGAGAGAGGGAGGGAGAGGGAGAAGGAGAGAGAGAGGATATATGGGAAGGGGAAGAAGAGGGAGAGAAAGAAACATAGAGAATATGGGTTGGACATAGAGAGGAAGAGAAAGAATGAAAAGGGAGAAGGGAGGGGAGGAATAGAGAAAGAAGGGAAGACAGACACGTGATGGGGGTGAGAGAGAGAGAGGAGAGAGAGAGAGAGAGAGAGAGAGAGAGAGGAGAGAGAGAGAGGAGAGGGGTGCAGATGGAGAGAGACGCTAAGTGATTAGCATTCCAAAGGGATTGGCTGCTGACTCAGGAGACTGTGCAACTTTGCTCTTTCGCAGCCACACACACACAGGCACACATGCAGGCACACACATGCATATCCTTATCCATGCACATGCACATACACTCACTCACGCATGCACAAATGCACTCACACACACACACACACACAGACACACTCACTCAATCACTCACACATGCACAAATGCACTCACACACACACACATACACAAACTCTCTCATGCATGCACAAATGCACTCACACACACACACACACACACACACCGATAACCAGTGCTTTATTCAGCTGGAGGTACAGAAATGAAATACGACCTCCCACTGTGCAGATTTTCCAGCCGTATCATTAAAACATACACAAAGGTTGTGCCTGGAACTTCCATGAAAGAATAAACCGCTGATAGGATCATTTGGCTTCAAAACCCCTCTTGATGCCTTCTATTTCCTGACAGTTATGTAAAACACCAAAATACATACTGAAAATATAGATAGACATGTAATGAATAGAGATTACATGATTCCTTACTTTACATATGCACTTTGATATTATTTTCTCTAATGAAAAGCTCTACACAAGTTCAATAAATTATTATTATTATTTTCGAGAGGGAAGTCAATTTTCC